TGCCATTAGATGTCCCTAAATCTTACCCCAAGTTGAAAGTTTCATTAGTTCCATTCAAAGCTGTCATCATGTTTAAAGTAGGTACTGTGCAGTCTTCCGATAAGTGCCAGTTGATCCAAAATTGGTTTTAAAGGCTTTTACTGTACGCCAGTGGTGATCCATCAAGTCTAAAGGATCCTAATTTTCCATTTTGCATAGGAGATGCTGCATTTTTAGCACTTTGCTGCAAACACTCAAGTAGAGGGGGACAAAAGGCAATTCAGATGCTCAGCTTCATTTTGTATAACAACCAGCAGAAGGAGGAAAACCATTAAGCTTTCTCCACATAGTCTGTTGTGACAAAAGGATATTGCACATTTAGAAAGCATTTCCCCTCCTACTCTTCCCCCAACCCTGGAAGTTACCAGCACTTTTTTTTCCTTCCCTCCAACTGAACAGACACACAAACTACAGCAACAGATGCTGCAATGCAAGCTCCAGCAATGCAAGGGAAATGTAACAATGTAGATGGTAGGAATAGTGTTCCTCACTCTGGCTCCTTGAGGAACCTGAAATCTGGTAGACTAAGTCTAAAATAAGAGATGATCAGCCCCTATTTAACATATGTACAGTGTTTACACTCTGACACGCTTTTGAATTAAGTTCTATATGGAGCTGACATAATAGATGGTATCTGACAACATGGTTTTATGAAAGCCACATGGAGATGTACTTCACAGTGCCCTGAATCTGTCAGATAACTCCTTCACAATAATGTTGGCCTCAAGCTTGAAATATGGTTCAAAAGTCACGAAAGTTGAGGTAATTACTCGAGTCTTTTCTCCTCTTTAAAACTGGCAACTCTATTTGTGGTTGAAATAGCTAGGCTGCTGACACAACTGCACTCATTTAGAAACCAAATATTTGTAGAATAAGTACAATTTTTTCAGAGAAAAATACTGTCACAATCAAGCCTACCATTTTCTCTTTTAAATAAAAACAGTTTTTGCATGTCTTTTGTGGCTGTGCCAACTGTAAAATGTTCTTGAAATATTCACTGCACACCACCAAAACCTTAAGGAGTTTTTCATTCCAATAATTAAAATGTAGGAAAACGAGAGGAAAATTAATTTATCTTTAAATCCCTTTCAACAGCAAAGCCATCCTACTCAAGAGCTGCAGAGATCTAACTAAGCTCCTTAATTCCCTCCTGTTTAACCCTCTCCTGAAGACTGATGTTCTAATGAGATATCATTAGAAGACTTTGTCCTTTGCCATGAAGCATTAGAAATGATTCCACAGAACAGTCCAGGATAAAACAGACATGTAACTCCTGTACAACTGGTTAACACAATGCAGCTTTGGAGTTGGTATACTTTTCTACAACAGGCAAGCTACTGAATGACAGGTCTGCCTCCAGGCAGGTCACAGGGATCAAAAAGACCCACCCAAAGAGAAGGAAACCTTGCTGTAACTGTTGGGAGAGCAGAAACCCAGATGCTGCAGTAGTTTATAAGTCTAGCACTTGGTTCAGCACTGCCGAATTTTTTTTTTTCCTGTGGCTGCCTGCCAATGAACAAAAGATAATCTTGCACCTAAGCAATCCAGACATTAAATGCACAGGAAACCTTATCTTCTGACTTATGACAGAAGATGACAAGCAGAGCTGGCGAAAATAAAGACGGAGTGCCCAAGGAGCCAAGGGCAGGAACTCTAAGTACAGCAGGATTTTTAACACCCAACCAACTTGGCAATAGCAGCTGATTCATCTGCTTTGCCAGCCACAGATGTCACATTGGGGAAAATCTCACTTGGACAGCATAACACAGAAAAGAAACTGAAGACCACACAATGTTCTTATTCATTCTATCGTGACACATATGAAAACAACATCTAAATCAAACCACATCCTACCCAAACAAATCCTCAGGTGGTTGTTTCTGTTTCAGATATGCAAAACTCGGTCAGTAACTACTCACCTTAAAATAATTTCTACAAACACAGTGTAGGTGTGTACATAAAACATGCTCTTAATAAAAAGAAATCTCTGGAATTCTTAAATTAAAGTTTAAAAACCTATGCAGAAAAAGAGAGAAACAAACAAAACCAAATCTAAACCAGATAAAAATGTGGCAAAAAGATTATTTCCTGACCACTTTTCAGCCACCAGGTTGAAACGCAGCAGCACCTTGATTTAAGCACACATCACACAGTTAAGCACTGCAAAGAGCCAAAGCTAGATTTGAAAGGGAAGCCCTTCTGTGGCCATTCCTGGACTTAAATACAACATATTCAAGTGATGAGCTCTGCTGTTTGTGTATGCAAAGTTCACCTCAGTTAAGTCTGTTTATAACAACATTCAAGTCTTGACTAACTTTATTTTAGTTAAATTATAACAGATTATTAAATTAAACTAAGACAGAACTGCTGACACATATCCATCAGTACAAGAACTCAAACTCATTTACATGCAGGCTTACTGCAAGTACTTCATTTTATCTAAGTGACTGTACCTTAACAGTGATGTACACACCACACTCCATAAATAAGCTCTGCTGCAGTGTAATTTTGTTTTTCAAACAGCAGCCTAAGCAATCTGAAGAGTTTCAACAGAGCAAGTACAGCATCCAAACAGGAGGAAGACCTTAAAAATGTTAAAGCTTGTTCACTGGAAAGTTTCCCCACCACTGCATTTTCCAGTAACAAAGATGTTGTCAGAAATGACAATTTTTCATGTCCCCTGATGATGCCTTGCTAGCATTTGGTTATAAGCCATAAAGCAGGAATAATTTCAGCCTGTCAGGAGTCTAGCTAATGCCCAGTTTCCCCCTAGAGAGAATTCCTGTCAAACGTAATGAGAGCTCCAAAGGCCCTTTCTACAACATAATGAGCACTTAGGCCATGCTGGTGATCAGCCAGCAAAAAGCATCAATTTGAGCCTGGCTACACCCTTGGGGGTAGACGTCACCAGTTAATAAGAATTATGATTACTATCTGTCAAAAGCCTCCTCAGAACTTATCGTTAGCAGTGGAAATTCAGAAGAATGTCACTGTTAGTTTTTTTGGGGGGTTTTTTGGGGTTTTTTGTGGTTTCTTTTTTTTCCTCTTGTTTTGGTTTTTTTCTTCCCGTAATCTAAGGCCACCTACATACTGAACTGCAACACCATTTGGCATCCTCACTGCAGGAATCTAAATCAATAGCCTTTAACATGAAGGTGCTACTTTTACCAGAAATTAGAATTACTTAACATGTAAAAGCATAGTATCTGAGACTCACATCCAGAGAAATGTATTTATACCTTTAAAAGCCTATTATTTTCTTAACAGCACACACAGAGCAAGTGTGCACTACTCTCCCCAGCTACAACTAACACAGATATAATGCTCTGTCATAAATCTTAAAAGCTTCCGAAGTATCACCGCCTACTGGGTACATAATTCTAATTGCCACACATACAGGACATTAAACCTTTATACATATGTTAAGGTCAAAGTGGGAACCTTAGTTCTCACCCACTTTAATCCTGTGGGTTTAATTGATTTTACCTAAAGTTAATTCCTAGTACACTAACTGAAATCACACATTCTCTTCAAAGAGCTCCTGAAAATAACATCCATTTTGCAGCAAATGATCTTCCTATACAGATACTGGCATCCTCATTGGTTACAGTATGCCAAGAAATTATTGAAGAAAAAAAATGCGAGGAAAAAAAAACCTCAAAATCACAAAGCTATGAAAAGTCTCCTCACAGAAAACCGGACATTCTTCTAAAACACAAGACACAAGAAAATTTGTTAGGCTACAGTACAGAACCAAGTCAAATACTAAGCTTGCTGTTCCATCTGGTTATTTGGTTCATTATTTTTAAAAAAAAAAGGTTGTCATAATACGACTTCTTTTAATGGCATTTTGAATTGAAACAAGCAAAAACCCTCCAAAACCCTAAAGAGTACCTACCCAGATTTGGAGACAGAAAGCTATCATGGAATTACAATGCCACCCTACCAAATATGGCATTTTCAGAGGAAAACAAAACAAACAACAAAAAAAAAATTCAAAGAGTTCAGAGTTACAAAAGCAAAACTCAACTCCGTAATTCACTTGCTTAATGAATGTCTTTGAATATACTGAAGATCTGAAGCCTGAACTAATCAATTTCTTCGCTGTGCCCTAGCCGGTCAGCCATGCTCTTTAATTTAATGAAACAAGAGTTTTAGATGAAATAGCACATACACATCAAGAAAGAATTGTATTGTTGCACTTTGAAATGTGTCCAACTGTGCAACTTCATCTAATGATAATTTTTTTAAGAGGCCATCGATTTCTGAAAGACTTATTGTACTAGCATCTTGATGAAAAAGTGAATGTCAGCATATCTACAGAATACTTACACCCTGCCATTAATGCTTTATTTGGCAGACAATGACTACTCAATTGAGGGTCCTCTGGGCTGTGCAATCATTTAGCTTTTCTTCTCTTATGAGGTCCTTAGTGTCTTGTTCCAGTTCAATACTCTTTTTATTCACCATTATAGTGGCCATAAGTGTGAATTTTATGGGAACTTGCAAACTCAGTCATAACTAGAGCTTTCCAAGTCACTAATCTCTTCATACCTTTACAAGGCAGGGATTTGAGTAACTATGACTACATATGCTACACAGACATGGGATCAGTTCTACATGTCAGCACCTCTACCAGTAACAAAACAAACAAACAAAGAAAAACCCAACCCAAAAAACCCTCAAATTTATAAGTTACTGAAGTGCATTTTTAAAACCACAGATACAAGACCTTTCCTATTTATGCCCAAGTCTTTCAGAACCAGTACCAAAAAAGGTACTGCTGCTTAACCTAATTTACACCTCATCTGACAGGAGGTAGGCAAAGGTCTACTAATCAGGCTACAAATCAGGCTATTGATTCAGACAGGATACCTTCATCTGAGCACAAACAGCACAGCGACATACAAATGCACCAGACAGACTGCAGATTTTGCAGCTTAGAAAACAAAATGTCTTACCTGTTTGTGCATTTCAATGTTTAATCCATACGACATTTCATAGTACTGCAAAGAAATGAACGTACATTATTTTCTTATACTGACTTACATTGTATTAGGAGATATTTACTGAAACAGAGATAAAAACAAATATACTTACCATCACATAATGCCTCTGCATTTCCGTCTTTTCGCTTGCCAGTTTCTCACATTCCAATTTAAGGCTACAAAATAGATCATGGTTTAATGTAACACATCGTTTTTTGGCATCTACCCTCCCTATTTGTATTTTGACAGAAGCTGCTAATTAAAAAAATTCATAAACTGACTTTCAACATAGAAAGACTTAATCATACTTGAAATAAAAAGGCCAAAGAAGAAATTTAAAGAACATTTCATGGGTGCTGTATGAGGCCTGAACTGTCTACAGAACCTAAACATATCGACTCTTCATACTTTGACAAAGAGCTGCTATTAAGTGCTGCAACTTACAAGTTAGAATAGGGTCTGAATTTCCCGTTAAGTACTTCTCAGGAGTAAAAAGATAAAAATAGAGGCATTTCTTTCTATACAGCACATAGTAAATGACTGCCAAGTTACACCACTCACATTTACAATTACAACTTGAGTATAATTTTTACCTTAAATACATTCTAGCAAATGTTACCTTGCCTAGTGCTTGAAAACTGGTAATTCTGAGTATCATTTACTGGCAAGTTTCTTTTCATAAACAAAAGAACTTCTGAAGGGCAGAGCAGCAACGAGGAGTGCATCCCACAACTTCCATGGATTATGGTAAACTTTGTGTTACTACTCTGAGTACTTGTGCGTTTTCACCGTCTTCCCTGGCTCTTAACAACAGGGCGCTGGAATTTTATTAATTTTTGCATTAACACCACACACAAATGAGCAAACATGAGAAGTAACCTCCTTAACGCGCTGTGCCACAGAACTGGCGCAGGTTTTCCCGGGATACACTGAAGCGACCCCTCCACATACGGGTTCCCAAGACACACCGCACTTGTTCGAACGCGCAGAGGCGCCGAACGCTCCGGCTCGGACAGTTCAGGTGCCCGGGGCAGGGCTGTGTCCCAGGGCCGGCGCACCCGGAAGCCGCGCCGGGCCGCGCACCGGGGCTGCCCGCGCTCCCCCCGGTCCCTCGGCGGGGCGAGCCGCGAGCCGCACGCCACCGCCTGGGCGCGCCCGTCCGCTGCAGCCCCCGCCCGCGCTGCTCCGGGCCCCGCAGCGCCTGCTCCCGGGACGGCCCTCACCTGTGGTACTGCGCCTGGAGGAACTGGAACTCTTCTTTGATGCGGTCCAGCGACTCCGGGATGGTGAATTTGAAAGGCTGGCCCGCAGCCTGGTGCGGGGTCTGGCGCGGCGGCGGCGGCACGGGAGAAAGATGCACGTTCAGACACTGCGCGGCCGCCCCGCGGGCAAAAGGAGGGGACGCTGTCCATCGCGGCCGGGCCGGAGGGATGGAGAGAACGCCCGGCCCGGCCCGCCCCGGGGCGCTGCGCAATTGTTACCCACCTTCCCGTCCCTCATCTGCGGTGGGGCCGAGGTTAACCGCGCTCCGACCCACCCGCTCCTGCCGCCGCCGTCTACACGAAAGCATGAAGTACCGGCTTCTCCCGCCGACCCCCGCCGCGGCGGCACAGCCAGCCCCATTCCGGGCGCGGTGCTCGGCGGATGCTGCCCGGCCCGACGGCGACCCCCCGCCGTCCTGCCCAAGGCGAGTAAGTTGCCCACGCAACAAAAGTACTGGGGGCCGCTCCGGCAGGCAGGACGAGCCGCTCGATCCCGGAGAGAATTAACTTGTGAGGGCGCCTTCCTCTCCCTCCCTTCCCCCCTGCCCCCCAGCCCCAGCAGAGCAAGCGAGCGGAGGTGCGCTCCGCAGCGCCCTGCCCTCGCCCCGCGCACCGCGCCCGCGGAGCGGCGGCCCGAGCCGTACTTACGGGGTGCCGGCTCTGGGGGAACATGGCTCCGGCCGCGGCGGCTCTCCCTCGCAGCGCGGCTCTCGCGGCGAGACTCCCCGCCCTGCCCCGGCTTCACACCCGGTGCGCCCAGGGGACAGGAGCGGCGACACCCGCCGACCGCCTTCCCTCCGCCGCCGCGGGCAGCAGCGGGGCGAGGCGCGGCTCAGTGCCCCCGCCGCGGGGACATTCCCCAGCCGCGGCGTCCTTTGTTGCTGTTGTTCCAAGGAGGGCTGAAGGTGGCCGGGAAAGGCGTACGGGCCGCGCTTGGGACGGTCACCAGCGCCCCGCGCTCTTTCGGCTGCGCTTCGACCGGCGGGCGGCGCCCGCAAGGCCCGGGCGCGGCGGGACGGGACCCGACGGGGCGCAGGGGGGGGAGGCCACAGCCGCCCCTCAGAGGCGGCGAATAATCCCCTTCACGGACTCGCAAGTGGTCGATGCGATTGTAAGGCCGGAAATCCCAGGCGGAGGAGACTCCTCTCTCCTCTTCTGCCCCTTGTCAAAAGGGGAAAATCCAGCCGAAGGGAGCGGATCGCAGTGTCCGCGGCGGGACCGTCGGAAGCCGAGGGGGGCGACAGAAAGTCTCCAGGCAGGGACGCGTTGCTCGCAGGCGTCGGCGCAGGGGCCAAACCACCGGCAAGACACAGAGCGATGAACAAGGGAGGAAGGCAGGAGGAGGAGGAAGGAGGCGGGCGGGCGCTCTTGCACAGCCGTCGCCGATCGGAGCAGCTCCAATAGCACATGCACGAAACGCTGGAGGGCAGAGGAAAGGGTACCACACACGCAGCACAGACTCTTCCGTTAGTTGCAGAGAAGTCCCCAGGACAAAAGGAAAGCAAACCCCTCAAGATGCTCGCTGGCCTTAGCGTCCAGGCAACCAGCCCCGTTGGGGAAGATTTAAAAAAAATAAAACAGAGATGAAAGCGTCCGTTTGAGGTTTAAATCAGACGGGAAGCTCCTTCGTGCAACAGCACCACTACAGCCTCTTACAGGCGGGCGCGGATCTGGGAGCTGCGCGTCTCACCAGAGACCTCCAAGCGCGATACATCGCGGCGACATCAGCAGCATCATCCTCATCCTCGCTCTCCTCCGCGGCGGCCCGCCGCTCCTCGTCGACCCGGGATATAAAGTTCCCCCCAGCTGAAAAATCCGAACCCGAGCGCACGGGAATACCACCGGCTTCCTCTGCCCCGTCCCCTCCGCGCCGGCCAAGGGCAAGGGGGAGCCGAGGCGGCGGCCTGGCGGGCGGCGCTCGGCGGGACCTGAGGGCGGCTACGGCCGAGCTGGACACGCCGCGCTCGCCCGCGCCGCTTACATTAGCACGCGGTTTCACACTCCGCCGGCTAACCAGCCGCGCGGCCCCGCCCACGCCGCCGCGCGGGGGGCTCCCGCCCAATCGCCGGCCCCGCCGCCAACGTGGGCCCGTGACGCGCCGCTGCCCCGCGAACCAATGGTACGCCCCGGAGTCGCACCGCCTCTCGGCTTTGGCTGAAGAGCGTTTGTGTGGCGGAGCGGCGCGAGCGCTCGGAGCCGGCCAATGGGAGCGCGCGGGGCGCGCGGCGCCGCGGGGGGGCGGGGAAGGTCGGCGGGAAGGAGAGAGGGAGGCCGAGCTGTCAATCAAAGTAACGTGGGGTCCGCGCGGGCGGGCGGGCGGGGCTGCGGCGGCGGGCGCGCCGCGCCTGCGCGCGGCGCCCCTGCCTCCGCCGGAGCCGCCGGGCAGCCCCGTCCGGCATAGGCAGCGGCCCCGCACACACCGCACAGGGCACAGGGCACCGCACAGCCCCGTCCGGCACAGGCAGCGGCCCCGCACACACCGCACCGGGCACTGGGAACCGCACAGCCCCGTCCGGCACAGGCAGCGGCTCCGCACTGCACACACCACACACCGCACCGCACAGGGCACACCGCACAGCGCCGTCCGGCACAGGCAGCGGCCCCGCACATACCGCACAGGGCACAGGGAACCGCACCGTGCACACCGCACAGGGCACACCGCACACGACACAGGGCACACCTCACACCGCACACTGCACAGTGCACACCGCACAGGGCACACCGCACGCCGAACCGTGCACACCGCACAGGGCACACCGCACCGCGCACACCGCACACCGCATCGTGCACACCGCGCACACCGCACACCGCATCGTGCACACCGCGCACACCGCACCGTGCACAAACCGCACACCGCACAGTGCACACCGCACACACCGCACAGGGCAACCGCACACCGCCCGCAGCCCGCCCCGGCCCCGCACGGCACGGCGACGCGCGCTCACAGCGCGGCGGGCGGGTCGGGCGCACGGTCCCGCCTCACCCGCCAGACGACGGCGGCGGGTCCACCTGCTGACAGCGCGCCACGGAAACGCCGAGGTGCGGAGGGATAAGCCCTCCCACGTGCTTGTGCGGCTCGGAGCACGCCAATTGCTGTGCTGGTTGGAATGACCCTTTGATAAGACGGAAGTTGTCCTTTGGGTAAAACTGGCTTCTTTTTAAGAGGGGCTTGATAGAGGAAAGCTGTCAATAACTTTGGTTTATAGGCCCACTTGAGATAGATGAGGGTCAAACAAATTCCACAGACTGTGTGTGCTTGCTGAGGAGATGACAAATGGTGACATAGCTGGCAGTGGGAAGTACACTTCAAAACATATCCTCTATTAGCAAGCACCTTATTCATAGCAGAATTCCACAATGAAGTGTGAAATACCTTTGGACTTAAAACACTGCCTTAATGCACACTTTTGCTGTTGGTAAATACTTGTGTGCTGCCCAAAAAGAGGTATTAGAATGTTGAACTGCATCATTTTAACCTGATAGGGGTAATGTTGCAGTCTGCATTTTCCTCATAATTCCCCACTAGTCTTTACTAGATACAGATTACTTCCTTAGAATTGTATTGTACTTCATCTTGAGTCCTAAAGAAAGAGGAGTCTTTGTTTTATATTTGATAGGAAATTTAACGTTTTTGAATATCAAAGCTTTACTCATTCAGAGTGATAATTTCCCATTATTATTCCTAAAATATTCTGTATTTTTACTTTAAAACATCCAACACAAAAGGGAGTGAAACCTCCTCAGTCTTCTGCTGTGAAAAGTTTGGTCTTCATTCCCGGACTGCGGAATTTTGTAAATGAGCAATGATACATCTGTGTCTCTGTGCACATCTGTATATGTGTATATGTCTGTGTGTGATGGGGTCTGTACCTGCAGGTGTACGTATACACCTATAGGTAGATATAGGTGTATAGGAACACGTGTGTTTCTGTTTATGTTCATGGTGCATATGTGCGTGCATCCTGGTGAACATATAAATAAACGTGTGCTTTTACTGGTTTCTAAGAGATGAGACAAAATACCCTTGATAGTGAGCTTTGATAGATTCTGGTTCCCAGGACGGGAATGTAAACTTGTCTGGTGTTCCACCTGCATAAGCAAACCTTAAAATCTTGCATTCTGTTCCCAGCTCTTCCCTTGTTGTCTTGGACTAGCCAACTCGCTGCTCTGTTCATGGCAATGGAAAGCTTAATTACTTAATGCTTATTAAAGTACTCAGATCTGCAGATGAAAGGTGCCATAAAAATGCAAACCATGATTATATACTTTGTGTGTGTACCTAGTAGCTATGGATTCTATAATAATGTAACACTTACCTAACTTTTGTTGTACTTTGCTTAACCTGCTGGCACAAGTTGTTAATGAGATATTGACAGATATGACATTAAAACAACACTGTGTTTTGGAACATAAACAAAAGGGGTTTGTTTTTTTCTTAATTGCTCACCTACATGAAAACTTGAAATGTCTCGTTACCTGTATTTGTCAACATTAAAACGTCCAAGGCATGTTTTAACAGAGAGAGAAAAGCTCTGTTTTCCTGGTTCTTATTAGTAAGTGCTTTTAACCTATTTTGATTCTGGAATCAGACACTTAAGGGCATTTTGAATCTTACTCATTGTATTTGAGATAGAAGAGCTGTACAAGCAGAAGTAGAATTAAATGTGCTGGTTTTTTTTTCAAATGAAAGCTACTGACATTACATAGCAGGAATAACAACCAACATGATCTGATGTTTAACTAATTATAATGCATCATCACTGGCTCATTAATGCATAAAAATATTATTTTTGTTGGATGGGCATAAATCTGGATGAATTCCAGGAAACAACATTATCATTCCATAGCAATATTCACTATTTACACCATAGAAAGACAGCAAAATATGGCTAGGCATGTTGTATTCAAGTAGGAAGCATTTCATACCAGATCATTCTGCCACAATGCTTTATATACTCTACACAATTGTCCAACTGGATTAAAAATACTTGTTTTAAATGTCTGTCTCATGTTTCAAAAATAAAAATATCTCCTTCAGTATTAACCCTCCCAACCAACCTGTCCAGTCACCCATTTTACTCTGTTGCTTGAAGTCAGTTGTTTTTTACTGTAAAAATTTTAGTGTCATTTTCCTATCTCATAAAGCAAAGGGCCTAATCCTAAACTGGCTACTGAAAATTCACACTGGAAGCGGTTGGAGCTTTGGGCGAAAAAAAAGCACACTTGGGTCCAAAAGGGAGGTTAAATGTACTGGAGGTACAGAGGTAAATGTACAGAGGTAGCATCCATTCTTTAGTGAAACCATAATGTTCTGTTTAATGCAGTGTTTATTATTTTTTTCTTCAGTGTTCACAGTACTTTTTATGAGCAATATTTATTAACTTTGTGCAAACTGGCATATAAAACAAAGATGTTGATGATGTTAATCACTAGGTGTTAGCTGCAGGTGGGCAGTAAACAATTTAGTGTGATTTGTCCCACTCTTCTACTCTCTGTGTTGGGAGAGCAAGCCAATAGAGGAAGCAATTCTAGAATTCAGTAGAGTTTACGCTTTCAAAGTTTTAGATAGATCACTGGATTTTCAACTGAAAGAGAAACATGCATGTATTAATGTGGATGGGGGTTGTTCTATTTGGTTTGTTTGTTTTAGGGTTTGGTTTGTTTGTTTTTTAATGTGGTGCAGGTGAAATAGAAAAAAACCTTGAATCATACAGTACATGTGGTACAGTAGTGACTGTCTACACAGTTGAAAGAATAGTAATTATTATAAGGACATGAAAAACAGTATCGCTTTTTAAATATTCATTTATTTGTGAAGTGCAAATGATGTGAACAGGGTAAAGCAATTACATTTCTAATTATTTGCTGTCTTTTGGCTAATAACCATTGCATACCCTCTTAGTAATTTGATTTCTTTTTAATTAGTAGCTTTCCTTGTAGGCAGAAATGTTCAAAAAGTTGCACTAGGTCATTTTACCATTATGACTGTATTCACTTCCCCCATTCCTTCACCCATAAAAAATCCCTGAGCTGAATTTAAAAAAAACCCAAGTCAGTAGCAGATCATGCAGCAGTAAAACCTCAAATAGAATCAGATCCAAAGAATCCCTTTTGGCTTCACACAATATGGTAAAATTAGAGATTGCAGGAAACCAAAAAATTTAAACTGGGAACATTTGAAAAGAAATGACCGGGCTTTATGAAAATGACACATTGACTGGCCAGTGTGTTTTTTTTATCGACAGTTTCTTTGTTGAGGCATAGATCAAAGAAACCTGCATATGTTTTCATTTTGTTCTAAGTCTAACTAGAAAATTACATCCAGATGTTTAATAGGCATTCTGTTGGTTTTCTGCATTGATTAGATATGTTGGTACTGTTTGCTTACAAGTGTAGCCGGATCATTAGCTAATGCAAAGAAATGTTTGTAGCGAGTTGCTAATTAGGTCTTTTGGAAACTCTCCATACTAAGGAACAATTTGTACAGTGGCCAGAAAAACTTGCGGTACTTGAGAAGTCGCTTTCCCTTCTGTGTCTGGGAAAAAACAGTCAGTCGCTTTCCCTAATCTTCTTTTGCCTACAGGGATTGCAGCTTGATCCCAGTGGGTTGAAGTGCAAATAAATTAGGAAGAGACCACACACACACACACACACACACACACACACGCACGCATGCATGCACACACACACGCACACACGCACATGCACACACATGCACACACACACACACACACACACACACGCACACAGACGCTCCCCCCTCCACCCCCAATCTGTTCCTTTAGTCAAAAGTCAGTTGTACAATCTTACAAAAAGCTAGCCAAAATGGAGTGCTTAAAACTAAAATGTGTTAAATTCTCAACATTCATGTTATCAAATACACAGCATTTTTGAGCATACTTTAGAGACAGATGGGGAAGCCCTTCATGATAAATGAGTGCACTTGAATTCATTACTGTGGTAC